AACTCACTGCCATAAGATTAACTTAGGTGTAAGCTAATGCTAGGTTACCACTGTGGTGCGATGCGTTCGATACGATTGTCCATATCGAGTCCACGATCCGGTACGTACAGATACGTTCGGATACGATGAACACGATCGCTACGTATAACCCCAATGTATGGTAAGACCTGATAGTATCCCCACGATTAAAACTACGATTTCAATCACAGCATGAATCGTGATAGTGGGAACCTAGCATTATTGACCAAGACGATGGGAGAGTGAGGGAAATGGAGTTTAACGTCCACTCGACACAAACTAGGTCATTTTGGGACTAACATATGGTTTAATCTTATTTCAATAATTCGCTTGCGCGTAAGGGTCTTTACCAGTGGGAGGAAACCGGGGGACCCGGAGAAAATCCACGAGGTTGGACAGGCGACCCTATTCCTTGTCACGTACAACAGGGGATTCGACAAGACAATGGGATATTTATAGAAGACTCAATTGTTTCAATGGCATTTAGTAATTAAATTGGGATACACAGAACACATTTCTATGGAATACAATTATTATTTATTACTGAGAGATCTTTCAACTAGGTTTCTTTTCTTTTCTCTTGTCTTATGAAGAGAATACGCAGTCACCGCCATTGATGTTCGCTTAAATTAATGGGATAATAGGTAACATGGTGGTCACAAAGTCGGTTTATGTGTTTTAGGGTTTTATAATAAAGGGTGTTTCATTCTGACTCACTGGCATAAGATTAAAGTCGGTGAACCGTCACTGTGTTACATTCAATAAAAATAAAAAGTCGTGACCGGTGACGTGATCTGTGATCTAGAACCCTCTACTATCCTATCGGAACTCGTTTAAACACCCTTAAATAAGGTGGGGTGAATGGCGGAAGGGTTAGCGGGTCGGTTGAGTGCTGTATCTTAAGGTCTGTCAATGAGTCAACTGGCGTGGTTTCGATTTCCCGGTTGTACGTGAAAGGGAGTAGAAGATCGTCTATCCAACCTCATGTGTTTTCTCCGAGTCCTCCGCTTTCCTCCCACTGCTAAAGACCCCTAGGCGTAAGAGAATTATTGAAATAAAATTGAACCGTATGTTAGTCCCGAAATGACCTAGTTTTTGTTGTGTAAACGTTACCCCCCCCTCTCTCTTATTTAACACGTTTAGACTGATATATATTACTAAATGATGTTTTTTGATGTAGACCTTTAATCATTCGAATCAGAGGAGATTAATCAGTATCTGAATCTTTAATTCGATCAGAATCTAACAATAAATACAGCATCGAAAGTTCAATGAAAAGACTAATAAAATATAGACTGGTGTAATTGTCTGGCTTACGATATGTCCGTGTTAATGTCTTGTACGTGCATATGCTTTGCTAATGAATGGTTGATATGCGCCTTGCTGTTCGAACAGAAGGATCTGCCTCACTAAGGGACATGTCGAACTCTAAGCACTTGCTATATAACTTATTATAAACCCGCTATTCACTGTTGACTATTAACAAATATACGTATAATATTAAACGGGTGTGTCCCAATACGGTTTACTTTATATCGTCTGGGTGTATAATCTCTATTTCTTTAATATACAACACGATAAGAGCCATTCGGTGTGTTTGGAATAAATTATAATACATGTATATAAATACAGTTATTTCGTTATTAAATATCATATATATGTGGCAGGATCAATATAACACAGTTATTTAATTATAAAATATGAAAAATCTGTGAGTGAATCGATATATTAAATGTACCTGGAAATACTATTACAGTCGAATCTCTTAACGGAATAGAAGTTCAAAGATGATTGAGGCATGTTCTGTTTTGATATGAATTATCAAATAAAACATTATCTATGGATAACAATTACTATGGTTTATTTCACTGCTATGTAATCTTGTTGAAACGTCGCAGTGAAATAATTAACAATTACTAGGGTTTTATTACACTGCGACGTAATCGTGTTGAAACGTCGCAGTGAAACAAACCATAATAATTAACAATTACTATAGTTTTATTACACTGCGACGTAATCTTGTAGAAACGTTGCAGTGAAATATACCATAGTAATTGTTATCAATAAATGCTATTTATTTTGATTATGTTCCAATTACTAAATACTATTCAAAGTTAATATGAATTAAATATATTTGCAGCCAGTTCGGTGTCATATGCTGAACAAGCTGCGATGATAAGCCTGTTTTTAATCCGATTGAATCCAAGCCGGGGCGAGATTATCTACCGTTGACATTTTGATTTTGTTTTCTTAATTAAATTTTAAATAATCTATTTGAGATATTTACGTGGATTAATCTGTGGGATATTTGATAATATCTAAGAAAATTAATAAGATGGGATTTGACATTAATATTTGGCAACCAATTGTTCAGTTTTCTTGTCAACACACCGAAAAAAGTAGGTCATTCAAAATTGACTCATTATTTTCAAAGAAAACTAATTACATGTATGGATTTGATTATAATCTAGTCGTTGGGAAAGTTATCGAATGTTTATTTACTTTTTTTTCAATAGAGCCATGGACAAACTCAAATGCTCCAATTGTTATCTGAAATATTGGGAAGGACCGACATCATTTGGTTATATTCCAAAATCCCAACATTGATTTTGTTTTGTCACGGGAGTGGAATAATCTAATGTATATTCACATATAGCGTGACGTAATGAGATCTAATTAAACAAAGTTATAGATACTAAATTTTTAATTTCTAATTCTTGGAAACAAACATAACATGTTACTGGCAAATAAAACATTACCATCTATTTGTTAGTAATCGTTTGATGTTCCCCAGTAGTTCTAAACAGTTAGCAATAGTAATAGGACTATGAAATACAGTTAATGTTTATTAATGAGCCCAGTAATAAACATTAATTGTATTCTAAAGAATGTTGTCCATTGTATTACCAGTTCACCAATTGTTGTAAACAACAATATAACGATGTAAACAACTACCTACACAGGGACATAATTACTGATCGACAATTTTACTAGGCTTCTCAAACAATAATTCTAACATTTACTTGATAAAAACTAGAGGTCTATAGTCGAAATATCTCTCATTAATAAACAGCCATTGCTAAAGAACTGAGAAGCATATAGACGCCCAGTAATAAGCAGTAATTGTGATAAAGACTGGAGAAGCAAATAGTCAAAACGTCTCTCATTAATAAACAGCAATTGATAAAGAATTGAGAAGCATATAGACCCTCAGTAATAAGCAGTACTTGATAACGACTGGAGAAGCAAATAGTCAAATCGTCGCTCATTAATAAACAGTAATTGATACAGGCTAGAGAAGCAAATGGTCAAATCGTCGCTCAGTAGTAAACAATAATTGATAAAGACTGGAGAAGCAAATAGTCGCTCAGTAATAAACAGTAATTATGTTTCGTAGAACTGTAATCTGTGTATTTTCAGCTCAAGTGCTAAATGTCATTGAAATAATACGTTTTATGAATTCTAAATTTCATGGGTGCATGACACATGCTGATTTTTAGGTGATATGATTTTATGTACAGTAGCGTCAACTTCAACAGATACTGTTCTTCTTAAAACCGTCTGTGTTCTCTGTGTATTTTAAGTTCAAATTCATCATGCAAGTGAATCTATTTGTTATGCATTCCAAATACATGTATCTGTAATGAGCAGTAATTGTATTCCATAGAAAAGTGCATTGTGTAATCGCAGTTCAATTACTAAGTGCTATTGAAACAATGTGCTATGCATTCTAAATTTCTATAATAAGCAGTAATTATTCTATTCGATAGCATAGTGACCTGTTTAATTGCAATTCAGTTAATAAGTCATGTGCTATGAATTCTGTAATAAACAGTAAATAAACGCAAGAGTCTCGAGGAAAACAATTACTGAATTTTATTCGGAGCTTATTTTCTACGATGATTCTGTTGTCTTTTTTAAGTAATTGTATATCACACGGAAAAACAATTACTGTATTTTAATGGGAGCTAATTTTCTACAATGATTCTCGTGTCTTTTTCTAGTAATTGTATACCACACGGAGTTATCCCAGTGTATCAAATACTTGTGTAATAAATAACCAGTTGTTGTATTCAAAGGAATCGTGTATTTCATGTTCAATTAATATTATTATAGTATTAAAACAATTTCCACGACAACAAGTTCAGTTACTAAATGCCATTGAAACTGTTTGTTATGCATTCTAAATGTGTAATAAACATTTAAATTACACAGAATTGTAAATCATATTCAATTACTAAAAGGTATTAAATCAATTTCCACGACAATTGTATAACAAACTGTTAAATAAGTCATATCGATCGATAAATATAGACCATGTTTACTGAGGTTTAAAAAACAGCTTGGTTATTGTTAATACATAACATGGCTGATCCATATCTTATTACCACGACACGACCTGCTAGATCGCTTACTCAAGTAGCTAAAATATTCGGGGGATACGTTTATCATACATACATACATTCCTTCATACCTGTATTTACCTGGGCGTGGCAACACACCTGAACTTTAATCAGTATAAAACCAGGTGACACATTTTATATTAAGATATGATAATATATTAAGTATATAATTCCAGGTATAATTTATATGGTAAACCGTTTCATTTAAACCATATTAATTTGATAATGACCAACTAGTGGGGATTTATAATGCGGAATTAATCAGTTCTAAAATACGCAAATAAAATGAGGTTGAACGTTCTACTGTTTTGTACCTACTAGGCTCAAGAAGGCGATTTAAAATAAATTCCTTTGGTAAACCGAATACCTTTAGAAAAGAAATGGAACATATGTTAGTCCCAAAATGACCAATAATAAAGTTGACCAAACGGCAAAGTCCATACATACATTCCGTTGCATTCCAATTTTATTGAGTGGCTTCTTGTTTGTTTTGCCATGGATGTAGGCCACCGCCGCACATTGTTGTCAAGATATAGTAAAGATAAAGTTTGAATAATAATATATTAATTATATACTTACATTGCGTGTCATTTCCCGGGTAACACTCTCTAAACAGGCCTCGCGCTCTCGTATGGTAATATCTAGCTTTGGCTTGATCCGTGTTTCGATCTGTTTTTTCGGCTGCTGTCAGTTTAGTGCTGTCTACATTGTAGATCAGCCAATTGTCCGTACCAAATGAAACTGCTAGAAATATTAATGTTATTGGTCCTAGAATTGTCGCCAGAACAATCAAGCCAGTAGCACACGATCCCATGATAACTGATTCTAAACGAGCACCTGTTTAATACGAAATATCGCTATATCTCCACACCACGACCCGAACAACCTTCTCCGTCAACTAATGTTCCCGAATGACGACAGTTAAGCCAGGTAACTCCCACAGGTATGATATACGGCCTGGTCTTAAAGCGATCTTAACGCTCTGTTAGTTTCTATTGTTCCCAAACCCTATTAAAATATGAAAAGATGTTTTATTTATAGACGTGTTATATAGTCACGATTGTCCAGGCAATGTTTATCATATAACGGTAAAAAAGCTTTCAGGTATTATCGATCTATTTGCAAGCTATAGGTTATTAGTCACAGCGTTCAATAACATGACAGCACTATCAATAAATATACCGGAGTTTAATGACATGTCAGCAGCGACTGAGCTATAATCTACACAAAATAATAAGCACTCACAAGAATTTATTTTCACAGAGGAGCCACGGTGGCTAAGTGAGTAAGACGCTGGCTTGCTATCCTAGACGTCGCGGGTTTGATACCGGTGTTGGCCGAAAAGTTATTCAAGATTTTCCGGCGTGGTTTAACAATTGTCAGTGGTGCAGGACGGAGGGCCTGATAAGGGCAGCTGTCTAGTCGTTCGGATGGGACGAAAAACCGAGGTCCCCTGTACACATTGACGTGCACGTAAAAGATACCTTGGCACTAGAATTCGATATAAGAGTAGCCCATAGTGCCGCTGCCCGGGCAAAATTCCCCTCATAGCACACTGTATGGCGTAAGCCTGAAGAGAACAGCAGGACGCCAAACCACATTTCATTTACAGTACAAGGATTCAAGATTATTGAATTAATAAAAATTAGCCGTAATCACTTTTTTATTCAAACTTCTATGTTTATTTCTTGGATTTGTCGACAAAATTCTTATGCATTGTAAGAATTGTGACCACATGTGGACATTACTGATGTAGAGCTCTGATTCCACAGATATGAATATTGTTATTATACATCCAGTCGAGGTACATATGGATGTGCACGTAAAAGAACCCCTTGACAGTTGGATTTCAAAAAGACCAGTAGGCCGTAACACCGCTGTCCTGGCAAAATGTTCCTCATAACACACCCCGTGTTCATTATCTCAGTTGGCGCAGACAAGTAGGACGTTAAACACCATTTCATTTCATTTTGCAAATAACTGGTCCGTATATTTCTGTTTCTTTATTGGAATCAATAATCATTTATTAAATTCCTGTAATTATCAGGAACTAGACCTCTGAGAATTGGATAAAACAAAATAAAGCAGTATTTTGCGTTGTCGTTGGGTGTAATGTTCATCAGTGCTGCAGCAGTCTCTATACCATTAAAGTTTTATTTGGTAAGACTTTGAGGAATTCTGTTTTCTACTTATTTCATATTCATGTATGCCTTGTGAACTTATCATTGATCATATCCCTACTAATGGCTTTATTAATTAAATTGTAAATAGAATTGAACGAAATCGGTTTATCCCAAGAAACAGAATTACATATAAAATGTAATGAAATGATAATTTTATTTTTGACAGAGAGGTGTAGTCATTTTGAGTCCACCCGAGTGTATCTTATTTTTAGTAATCATTAATACTCCTAATACGTTACATAACTGTATAGTCGGCGTGACAATAATCTGAATGACCGGATGATCAAGACTATAACCCTTAACCGTAAAACCTGTTTTAGTTAGAAAACTGCACGGTAGCTCCGATTGAATAGAAGTTGAAACCGTGAGAAATGTTCGGTATTCATCGGTTTTTAACTTATCATAAAACAAACAGCGATACTAGGTGCCCCATAAATAAGAGAGAGAGAGAGAGAGAGACAGAGACAGACACACACACACAAAATAGGTCATTTCGGGACTAACACATGGTTCAGTTTTATTTCAATAATTCGCTTGGGCGTAGGGGTCTTTAGCAGTGGAAGGAAACCGGAGGACCTGGAGAAAACCCAGGAGGCTGGACAGGCGTCCCCCCTCTTTGTCACGTACAATCGGGGAATCTAAACCACGCGATCCAATCCACCGCCGCATAAATGAATTCATAGTGTATCTTGTCGTCTGTCATATGGTGACATGTCCCAAAAATAGTCACCTGAAGCGTAACTAGATCACTGGCCATTGCATGACTAATATTATGATAATGTTTTTAATTTTTTAAAATCCGTTTCCGCCTAGTATTCTTTAGCAGGGGTGAAATGGTGTGGGGGGGGGGGGGTACGCGGGGGACAGTTTCAGGGCAACACGCAACATTGGACAAAACTTCAAAACATTATTTATTTCCAACCATTTAATTTTAATGTTTGGAATAAAACGTAGGGATGATATTGGAAGATAAGACGCGGAGGGGAGACGGAGGTCTCATTTCAGCTAAAACCCACGACATTGGACAAGCATTAACACTTTATTTTATGTTATAAAAAGTAAAAGACATCGTAAAAGAATGAGTTAGACATGTTATTGGGAATTACGGAAGCTAAGGACGGGGGCAGTTCAGAGAAAACCCACGACACTGGACAAGCGACCTTAACCCCGAACACTATTTGATTACAAGCATGAACACTAAAAGACATTGTAAAAGAATGAGTTACGGAAGTTAATTGGAGTGTGGTTCATAGAAAACCCACGACACTAATAAACAATCAAGAAACCATCTCAAAACTTTATTTGTTTACAGCCATTACATTTTATTTTCTGTTATAAAATGTAAGTTTCATCCTAAAAGGTTAAGTTAGTGATATGATTGAGAATTAGGGACGCAGTGGCTTCATTAATCCTCTAAAACAATAACAGTAATTAAACATGGAATTAGATTAAAGTAGCGTTATGTTTAGACCAGTTTACCTGGACGGGAAGGTGATAATTACAGGTATTGTCTTATACACTCCCGCCGTCTTTGTTGTACCTATACATGTCATACATGAAGGAATTAGGGAAAGGTTGAAAGGTGTTTAACCTAATCCAGGTATAAAATATTCCCGTCATTAACACCTATTTATCAAATATACCTTAAGATAAATATAGACCGCTCTTTTATATATAGGGGTCGATAATTTCACACCTTGAAAGCAGACGCTAAGCCCGAATTTAAATCAAGTCACACCGTGATAAAGACCGAATTATATACACACCTTGCATAAGCATAAGGGAACCTCTACGCGCAAGCGAATTATTAAAATAAAAATGAACCGTGTGTTAATCCCGAAATGACCTACTCTCTCTCTCTCTCGTTCCAATGGGCCTGGTAGTTATCCCCCAAAATGGAACGGTAATTGTTAAATTCTATGGTTGCGTGTATAATGGGAGCGGGGTGGGGGTAATAAGCAAAGGCAGTGTCCTTACCACCTAGTGCACTACCAAATGTAATTTGTACATGGGATCTCAAGTTTCACCCCAACACAAACTACAAAACATATTTTTCTTGCAGTTTAACATCATCCCAAGGTAAACCATGTCGTTTTGGGTCTAACATATAATAAATTGACATCCTCAAAAATCAAGGTGGTGACCAGATGATTTTGACACATTGAGGGCTTCATAGGTATAAAGATTAGAATTAAAAGGAAAGTTCAGAAAAGAATTCTAGGCTATGAAATGGTTTTATTGTAACCGAGTGTTGTCCGAATCCTAACAACACTCAACTAAGAGTTATCTCCCTTTACTTGCTATTATTGATAGAGATTTAAATGATAACGTGGAATAAGTCAAGTCGTATATATTTTATTAATTATCTAATATTAAAATAGTTTAATTATTTCACAGCCGAAGCCCCAATCCATTTCGAAATTTATTAACCAATTAAGACAACTGACGTTACTGTGGGAACTGGCAATCACTATTTGTAAATACAGAAATGAACTGAAATGGGGTTTAACGTCTACTGTTCTGCTCCGACTATCGAATTCCAACTGTCAAGGATCTTTTACGTGCACACCAACGTGTAAACGGGACTTCGGTTTTTTGTCCCACCCGTACGACTAGACAACTGTCCTTGTCAGAACCACCGCCACCGCCACATCCCGGTTTGTCCCACTGAGCCAAATATCTGCACATCATCATTGCCCTTAACCGGTCGACTATAATCCCCATAACGTTATACAGCTAGAACCTTTTTTATAAGCCGCATTTGAGTATTTAGTTTCGTATTTAATTGATATCGCCACGCATGCGTGTCAGACAGGAACTTGCCTTGTCAATAGCATTGAGAAAAACATGTCTTTGTTCAACAATTTTTGACAAAAGACGTAATATGTTAACGATGTCGAGAAGGTTAAAGACTGGCAACGTGGTTGCAATTCTTATGAATGATTCCGACTCGGATTATATAGATGAAACCGAGTCTGAAGACGATATCTCTGATGAATATGATTTAGGAAACGAGAGACCACGTGCGGGTGCCGATTTCAACAATTTTCGTGATCAAAATCATAATGTTTTCGACGAATCTGTTGCCGTGGAAACCGAAAGCGACAGTGAAAATGATGATGACGTTTTAGAAGAAAATCTACCCAATAAAAGTGACTTTGTTTGGAATTTTCTTCATGATGGCAGGTGAACACCTTCTTCAGTTCTAGTGTATTCAGGCTCTCGTACTCCTAGAATCAAATTTAATGCAGATGGTATGCAGCCTGTGGATTTCTTTTACAAATTGTTTCCAGAAGATATTTTTGATATGATAGCCACCGAAACAAACCGTTATGCTGAACAATTTTTCGACAGTTCGTGTGATGTTACTGCTGGTTCAATTTTTCAACATTGGAAACCAACCTTCTCTTCAGAAATTAAAGAATTCATTGGTCTACAGTTGATTATGGGTATTGTGCGGAAACCAGACCTACGTGACTACTGGTCTAAAGATGTTTTGCTTTCGACTCCTATTTTTAGTGAAGTTATGTCTATAAGACGGTATCGCCTACTCAATTCGTTCCTGCATTACAACGACAATGCAGATCAACCGGAGAGAACAAGTGTTGACTATGACCCCTTATATAAAGTGAGGCCAATGATGGATAAAATCATTCCAACATTTCTGACACATTTTGAGGCAGGCCAAAATCTTAGTATTTTATCGACAATATATTCCGAATAAACCTCATAAGTGGGGCGTGAAAATCTCTGTTATGTGTGACTCTCATACTGGT